CGTACATTTTTTCGACTGCTTGTCATCTGACACATCATCTGCCCAGTTGTACACAACTTCATTTCAAAGATTAGGGCAACTTTTAAGAAAATTGATTAATAGCTTGAGGAAGGTCCCTCATTCTCAAAGTGCCTCCCCTGCTTCACCTATGAATAATTACACTATTTACAAAATTGCTCGATTTTCGCGTTGGTAACATTTTCGACATTTTGAAGCAATCAATTCCCCCAACTGTCACTTTCACAGAAGTTCAGAAACGATGCTCAAATATGAATTTATAACATAGAGGTGAAGCCCTAACGAATAATGGCGCAAAAAATATCCATTGGAGGAAAAGTTGAACGAAGCGAGCATTAAGCCATAATGGACACCAGCTATCCCCTTGTTAACTAATATTATTTACATCATGCTGCGCTTAATTTGAATTTTAGAAAAAATGTTTCTGCCATAACTACAAGAACTGCTTTCATTTATCTTGGCTGGGAACTCGACCTATGATCGTAAAAGCATTTTGATAACATTCATTTCTTCGGCCGCACAAACCCCCGAGAGTTTGCGTGCTTGCTATCTTAGAAATTAGATAAATTCAATTCCAAGCTCAGTAGATGTTATGGATAGCTGAACATGATCATTTAGTAGGTCATATATAAAACCAATAAGCGCCCATGTTTTAACACAAACATAATCATATTCCGAAAGAACACGAAATACCAATAGACCAAATAGTGAAAACTCAATAATTAGGGAATTTTACCTGCCCATTAACAAATTCAAGCTAAACAAGTTAATTAGTTTACGTCAATGTTAGTAATAGGATACTGAGAAAATTATAGTTCCAAACGGAAGGTAAACATTTAGTAATCGGCAAATTCATTCCACCGTTTCTGCTAGGAAAAGAGACATTTATGACTAACCCTTTTGCTACTATGCAAATCAGAAATCAGGAAACAGCGATTTCATAAAGTTAAGAGGCAACTATTGAAGTCCAAATTCACTCTTAAGAGTTCACTAAGTTGTGTGCATACTAAGGTGCAGTGGACAAAGTACACAACCGCCAAGTCAGTGCGTAAAGCCGAACCACCAATTGAATGAGTAATAAAATGAAAAAAATATCCTGGTGGAAAAGACAGTGATGCGAAATGATTTCAGTGTACTAAATTCTTCAACAAGAAATCATCCAGTCCGATCGAATAGAATGATTTAAATTAAGGGAAAAATTTGATTTTTTATTTGAAGTAAATATCGAGAATAACGACGCAAATCCATTAACTTGTCGATCAAACTGCAAAAGCTGAAATTAGAAACCAGTTTCAAACGTAGCTAGTAGCGTTTACAAAATCTAAGCTACTATCTGCGAAACTCATTAGCAAAACACCCCCATCACAACGGATAGCGTACTTTTACCATGAATGTGATCCTGACTTAAACAGAAAACTGACATTTAGTAGAATTCGATAATATCAGTATTCATCTGGTACCAACCCTCATTTTAAATGTTAGTCATAAGTGAGCTCTGATTCGATTATTTACAAATAGCAAGGCGCAAAATTCCAAAATTTCTATTACCAGCAATAACTTTGGTAGCGCATTTTACCAAAAATAATCAGATATAAATTTAGCCGAATACCCACATTCGATATATTGAAAGTTAAGCTGTAATCGTGCGCAACGTCGCGGAAATCAATGCCCATTAATAAAGGCCGCAAAAATAGATGATATCCAAGTCACAAAATTAAGTGTCAAGCCCTAAACCCACTTAATAGTAATGGCACTACTAAACTAAAAATGCTCAAAAAGCTCTTTCACCATCAATTCAAACGGTCGCCATCTTGAAAATTAATGCATAGCTACAGACCTAAAAATACTGCTCGTCTAGTCAGAGTAGAAAAATGCGTAAAAATACGCTCAAAAATAACCAAAATGTATAACTCTAGCTAGCGCTTTATTAATCGGATGTATGAAACAATCTAATCACGATTATGCCAAAATCAGCTGACCAGAGCCTACGCCATAAAGATACCAAACAAAACTTCGCAAAACGACGCGACCCCAACAACAGCGCAATCGGTGCACATTCAAGACTTGTTTAACACATCAAAAACCGTAACCCATAATTAACTTAGGATGAAAATTTAGCCCATTGACAAACTACTACGATTAACATGTGACGAAGGTAAATACGTAAATAGAGAATGTAAACACGCCCGACTGTAACGAGCATCAAGAAGAAAAATTTTGAAACCAAAATTTTTAACCAACCAAAACTAATCATCATTAGAACAATGAACGGAAACCGCCCAAAAAGTCCAAATATAATTAGTTCTTCTCAGAAGAACGACCATCGGATGATTTTCCTTGATCGCGATCCTTCTTCGCTAAAGCAATTTTACAATTCTTCACCTAAATAGATACAAAATAATTAAAATCGAATTTTGATAAAAGGAAAATAAAAACAAGATATTTAACATACCGCTTGTTCTAATTCACTGTCACTTTCGACAACTTTGCGAACGAACGCTCCATCCATTTGTATAATCATGCCAGTAAGTTTACCAGCAAGAACAGGTTCATCCTTGACAATCTTTTGATAAATCTTGTCGCCAAACGATTGACGCTCAGCCTCAGTTAAATTGCTCTCACTAACTTTTCCAGAATCATTAGAAAGTCCTTCATGCTGTTCCGATGGAGCCGACTGATCTACGCGTACTGGGGAAGCAATAGAGCGCTGTGCTTGGGACTGGGACGAGATGCCACTGCGAGATGGTTGATTAAAGCGAACATTAGCACTAGCTGCTGCAGCGGAGATTCCTTGGGCACCCGACTGTGCAACAGGCTAAAAATTGAAATACAAGTTATTAGACAAAACAAAACAAATAAAGCTACTTTAAAACATACCCTAATGTTAGCTGATACATTGGCCATGGTTTGACGTGGCAAAGGGCCACCAGCACCTAGCATTTGACCTGGCATACCAGGACGTTGGGCACTATATTGCTGTCCTGCAACAAGTCCACTATTTGGATTGGCCCCGAGACCGGCCATAGGATTTGGCATTATGTTACGCGCACCAGTTTGACCACGAAATTGGGGATTTATGAGGCTGCTTTGAGCAGTTAATTGACTTTGGCCCATAGCCATAGAGGCACCGCCGCCAACGTAAGGTGATCCGAGACTTGGCCTCAATGCTGATGCAGCACCGATGCCCGGATGTCCCAATGGAACCTGGGGAGCAGCCATTCCGCGATTCCATCGTGGTGATGAACCCATGGCCGCATTAGCCGGGTAAAAGCGATGTGTTGCGTTGAATGGTATTTGACCAAGGTAGTTAGGGAGATTGGGAGGAATATTGGCAGCATTTGGACGATACTGAAGCCTCTGCTGATGTTCAGCAAACAGCTTAGCACGCCTGTCATCTCGGCGTTGAGCCAGTGCAACATACAACGGTTTAGATCCCATTAATGTCCCACTAAGCTTTGCAGCTTCCCTTGCCTCATCCGCGTTCGAGAAGCAAACGAACCCGAAACCCTTTGAATTGCCGTTTTGGTCCAACATAACTTTTGCACTAGTAATCTTACCATATTTGCCGAAAGCTTCCTTTAAACGTTCATCATCAACAGTATCATCGAGATTTTTAACGTAGAGATTTGTACCTTGGGCGTACTTAGACAATCGCTCGTTGCGCTGCTTTTCGTATTGTTGGCGTAGAAGTTCTTGACGCTCTTCCTTTCTTTGTGCTCTGCTGACGTAAAGATTAGCACCATTGACCTCCTTATTGTTCATAGCACTAACGGCGGCTTCAGCGCTGTCAGGATTAATGAAACAAACGAATCCGAAGCCTTTTGACTTCCCTAGTTCATCCTTCATAACGCAAGCACTCTTTATTTCGCCAAATTCCAAAAACAACTTTTTTAAATCTTCGTCATCCAGATCGAGACTAAAGTTCTTAACGTAGCAATTGTTGAACTTTGGCTTGCCAGCGGATACTTTGCGTTGGCTTTTAGGAATGAACGGTCCCACATACACAATCCGCTCGTTGATCATTTTTCCGTTAATATTGTTGATAGCTGTTTTAGCACATTCCTCATCTTCAAAATGGATAAAACCGTAGCCTTTGGAATGTCCCGCTTCATCAAAGGCAATCTAGACAACACAGTGGGTTTGATTACATTTACATACCTTGCATGATAATATTTTGCCGAAATGCTTGAAGGTTTCGTACAAATCCTTCTGGTTTATCTTTTTGTCCAGATTCTTAATGAATATATTGCCCTTTCCAGATTTGCGCAGGGAAGGATCCCTTACACACCACATGATACGAATTTGGCGACCCATGAGATCGTCATAGATAAGTTGCTCAAGGGCGCGCTCAGCTAAAAAGAATTGGTTTAAGATTTCTTAATTTACCATCTTTCGGATTTTCGAAGTTGACGTAGCCGTAGCCCAAAGAAGATTGACCAGCAACATCCCGACATACTCGTGCACTTAAAACGTTACCGACGCTGTTGAATATAGCGTAGAGCATGGCATCGGTAACGGCAGGATGCAGATCACCCACGTAAAGCGATGCGCGAGGAAGGCTAGCATTTTGAGTGGTGTTGGTTGCCATTTTTTTACTTTTTTTTCAATTTTTGTAAATTTTTTGTCGGTTTTTGATGAAACCCACAAATAACGCAGTGAAGATCGAATATTGTGGGCAATATAGATAAGAAGTATTATAAACAAGGTCTAGAAATGTTAAACTTCGAACAAAGAAAATATTAAGTATACTCGTACATAAAATTAATAGACTTATTTTATTATTAAGTTTTAAATAGTTTTTATTTTCTTTTAATTTAATTTTGCATTAATGTGAACGATATCAATTTCCATTTCAGTACTTATTTTATGTGACTGATTTTCTTGCTCTTATGATTCAAGTCAGTTGTATACACTATAATAGAATACCTACATTGATTTAATAAAGGAAAATTTACTCATTAATATCCAATTGATTTATTCTTTTATTCACTCAGGCAAGTTAATAAACATTTATTACCAATGTTATCTCTGACACACTTTTTATTTGCAATAAAATCAAAAACCCTATTTTTTCTAAGCCATGTTCTTTATTTCAAACTGCCTTATTTCTTTATTTGCGCCTTCATTCAATTTTTTATTGATAGTAGTTTCCTTTGAGAAAACCACCGTTCTTGATCACCTTATTGCATACGGGTTTATGCCAATTTTCTTTGATTAATTTAAAGTCTCATTTGAATCAAATCGAAAATGAATTAAAAACTTAAAAAATTGAAATGCTCTATTTGATAATATTCTTTTGAAATCATTATATATTTATTTGCAAGCTTAACAGCCAAAATCATTTGAATTAATCAAATAAACATAAATGTAAAAAAATCAACACTAGAGATTAAGATTTCAGCAACTTATTGTGTAGGAATTTCAACTCTGAGGCATATTTGAGGATTTACTTCCACTAATCATTGCAAAATTTCTAGTGGACCATTTCAGCGTTTATGCAAAATTTATTATATTATATCACTTTTTATTTCTTTTGTAGCCTATTTCGCGTTTTAAACATTAAAGACTCTATGTTCAACTTAATTAGGATGGGCCATAAATAACATTTCTAAAATCCCTCTTTTTCCATATTATTTCCATTAACTTACCTATATATGGAAGAATATACCTAATCGTTTACCAATAAATCATTACAAATACCGCTGATTAGACTCTAAATTTCAATGCTATCGCGAAATAATTTTTGGATTATTCTCCTAGAACTCTCAAGTTTAGGCAATAAATATTCCATTTTATTCGCTTATTAACTCATTTTCTAGAGTCATGAGGCAGAAAATGGAAAAATCAGTTCAGTAATAAATTCCATATTTATTGGCCAGACATTTAACCTCTATAATGCGCATTTAAGTCATGATTGAAAGCAGAAATTCAAGCAAAATTGAATACTTTAATACTTCCTCTAACATTCTTCTTGATAAGTACTAAACTTTGTGATATTACATCACTAAGACTATATAACAGGTAAAGATTAACATCTCAAGTAAGCTCTTAAATTCCATTAACTATGATTGATTAGAACGTCATATTAAAATACTTTAAATGAACTAATTCTCAATGGCGTATTTAATACCGGGGGAGGAGTTCTCTTGAATTCATCGCTACTAAAATAAGCCTCGACCAATACTCAGTATTCTCAATGGCATGTTTTCCTAGTTGCGAAAGCCTCCCGGACTTAAACTATCACAATAATACAGATGAGGAAGACGTATTGAGGCAAAGAGATTATTAAATTTTACTATCTCCGCAAACGTGAATAGTAATCACATACGCCTAACATAATTTGTATGACCTATAATAGGTGACAATCTGAACAGTCCTCAGCATACTCTGCCGCACCCTCCAGACCGTTCGGGTGCGCAGCTTAATTGTGTCAGGATTGAGTACTCCATCATCTTATCAGTCAATTTGAAGATTGAAAAGTTGATTAAACCATAATAATTCGCAATTTTCATTTTATGAATTTATCTGATGTGAGATCTAAAATAAGGATGCAATACCAAGAGTTAATTTCAGTATGGTCTGCTTTTTAGTAGGTAATAGATACTTAGCTTTGTGGAGGAATCTCATGCGCGCTCAGCAAATCTGGAGGATGTGATTGTGTTAATCAGCTTTCAATATTCATTCAAGCTGCGATATTTGCGAATCACTTTTGGTGTAGGCGTAATTTGCAATAAACACGGCACTCTTTATACGTTCTGCCTCTCTGATATGGCTGAAATGGATTAGTCGATATTTGGGCAGTTTTATATGAGAAAATTTTGCCAGAAAGGATCGTTAAGTTTAGTTGAGGCTTATTTATGTCTTATCAACAGCGCATTCTCTTAGTAATCCAGTCTTTATGAGTACGCCTAAATAGGACACCGCATACACAACTATAGAGAGTTTTATATTGCCCTTGCGGAGTGTGAAATAGATTTACCTTCACATGGTGCACCCTGAGCAACGTATACTCATACGGCAAAAAAGTCCATTAACCGGCAGTTGACTTTTCACTTCAAACAACCATCACCCTACTGTATGCCGGATTCGACTACTTCTACAGTACTCACCTCACCTTTTTCTACCATTGTGTCTGTCTCTTTTAATCTTTGAAACACTTCTGCTCCCCCCTCTCGACTTTTTTTCACTCTTCTGTCCCCCCCCCTTTTGTGGAGCCCGAAGCCAACTAGGGGGCTAATGATAACTGCCATAAAGCCTGCCATTTCATGTAAATAAGTATCGTATTTACTTTGGATAACCCTGCAACAAATTAACTCGGTTCAAGTAAGTTAAATGCCCATCAAATTTTATTTACATTTGTGACAAGTACTATATTAATATAATTGGCATGTTTATGCTTCCATATGCAAATTACTATGGTTGCGCTAAACGTTACTATGACTGATCCAGGGAAATGTGGCCGTACTCTAGTCTGCGGACATACGTGCAGAGACGTCTCAGACAACCAGCAAACAATATTCGTTGCAACGTGGTGAAACACTTGTGATATTTATTGACTACTTTTAATCAACGTTCTCAAATGTATATTTTCGGCGTTCACGCTACTGTTAACACAGTTTACCTGATTTGGGAGCAATTTTATACTGGAAAATTTTGCTTGAGGCAGTTGCACTTATATAATTTGACTTATGCTTAATAACATCTATGACAAGTTCCCCTAGTTTGGAAAGGTTTCCAGGATTAGCTAAGCAACCGCAAAGAAGTTGAAGAAGCATACGTATGACTTGGAATACGTTTATTTGGGCTGTGTGAAATGGGTCAGGCGTTGATGACACTAGCACCGTAGTGACTATTGTTTATTGATTGATTGGTCGAGAGGTCTCCGCACTCGTGATCCCATTTACTCCCTAGTATGATTGGCATCACGTCTTCTGAATGTTTGAATGCGCAAGCGCTTCTTTGCTTTAGCCAGGCTAGTGGCGTCCTTCCTACACGCTACAGAAATGAGAAGTAGAAATTTTACACCCTTTATCACAGGAAAATAACCAAAAACAATTAACCCCAAAGCGGCACAATAAGGTGAAAGTTGGGTAAATCCCTAACCACTAAGTCCTGCAAACAGTTACTTGTTTGTCTTAATCTTTGGGTCTGCGTTTTGTGATTCCACCCGCCCATAAGTAATGGTCATAGTCTTCTCTATCTTATATCCAAAATAAAAACCGAAAAATAGTAATTCGCAAAATATAGCTTAAACAAGTTGTTATGGGTTCAAGAGTAACGATGTTGTACAAATTTAAATAAACCAGAATGGGCGCTAGCAGTTTTGCCTAACACGGCCATTTTCGGTTCTTTCAGCAATCCATTTGGGATGATCAGCCTCAATATTCTCCAGGATCTGATTCAACGAAGTCCACAAATTCTGGGTTCGAATACCCGACGACACCGAATTCACATTATCTCCCAAAGAAAAAAAATATAAAAAAGGTAGATATGGCAGACAAGGATAAAGATAAAAGGTAAATTAACAAAATACATACTTTCAAAGAAAATTAGTCCATCAATTTGATCGATAAAAGCGTCTAGCCTTTCCTCCTCGACCATTTGAGCGGCAGTTGATTCAGCCTGAAGTAAGAAAAAATCGATCGGTAATTTTCAACGCATCAAGAATTCTTTACACGTACATAGCAAAAGCAGCTTACTTGTTCTGTTTCGATTTCCAATAATTCTGCAAGATTCTTCAAAGTAATACTGCTGTATACTTTACTGGCAGCAATCATATTGTGCTCAACAACGACCCGCTCCAAAACAGCGTCTAATTTTTGGTTATTTTCACCTCCGAACAAATCGGAGTAGTATTGAATAATCAGAGGTCGCAGACTCCTTACGCATTCACGGCTAATTAACCTCTGATTATACCTAGTGAAAATCAACATTCTGAATCAGATTTTTACATTTTCTCAAGGACAGGATAGGCTTTAAGGGCACGACAACGATCATCTCTGTAGAGAAATGTTAAAAGTCGCGCTCGTTGCTGACTAGCTCCGCCTAAAATGGTAGAGATTAGAGCATGCTCTAAGAATTCTGTCCTCTGCGCTTCCGTTGAAACATCGCGGAAACGAATGGACAGGTCTATGTACCTCTGTCCAGCTTCTAGAAACCTTTGCTTAGAATCTAAAAGTAAAGCCTGGGAAATCTGAAAAATAAATATTTAAAATATCTATCCTGAAAGAAAACAAACCTTGAATTTCATTTTTAAGCTTTCATCAGTACAGTTTGGTAGCATTTTAGAAACCTGATTAAGAACGTTTTCAATGCAATCAAATTCCTTTAGCTCAGTTAGACACTCAGTCAAGCGAGCACAGATTTGAAGTTTGTACCCATCTGAATAACCACTTATTGAAAAATAATAAATACGTAAAAATAATACCGAGCATGGCTATCAACAGGAATAGCACGTAACATTTCAACAGCCTCTTTCACTTTTCCAACTTTCATTAGCCGTTGAGCAAGTCGATCCCTCAAATATGCCAACTGAAAAGGTTATAAAAAATCTGAGAAATACCTCATATTCAAATGCAATGGCACGGGGCTGCATACGATAGAGCATTTCCTGAAGAGTTTCGACGACTAAGTTGTCGTCAGAAAGACTGTCAACGAATTCAGTCAATCTTTTACCCATTTTTCGAGCGACAACAAGGGTTACAGAACCTTGAGAAACTATTGCAAAATGAAACGAACATATATAAATAAACTCACTCATATCAGCAAAGGTCGCTGCAACTTCAGTAAAGTAGTTAGGTGGTAAATCAGATATCTGAGCAAGAACTACATTAAATCTAAGAACGAAATACAAAGATAACAGTATATTAGTTACCTATCTAGAGCATCGCTGACATCTTTCGAGATCAAAATCTCGACCATTTGAATTTCAAGTTCAGTGTCGATAACCATATCTTATTAGCAAGCAAACAGGGTTTTAATTGAAATGAAGCTCCTTAAATGGCAAGAACTCAAAACATCGGCAAAATGCTTTTGGAAAGCCGGAACTTAAAAGATGGGCCGGGATAAGCAGTTCACCAAAATAACATAAAGGTTACTTAAAATACGATTTAAGGCGCAGCTCTTATTTTAATAAAGACAAGATATATTTAAATTATAAATGATAGGAAATGATGTTATTATGTAGATGTGATTTGATTTTATATACTTAACAGACTAGCTCTGATTTTGATTGCGTGAAAAATTTCGCCTCAAGTTACATTTATTCCTATTCACTGCAGTGCTTGCATTTTTTTCTGTTAAAAATTAATACAATATCGTTTTCAAGCATGCGGATTTTTGTGTTTCAAAGTTTTTTTATTTTCAGTTTGGATAGCACACAAAGGAGAAATATTTTTTCTGAGCAGATATTTTGAATTATTGTTTTCTTAAAGGAACGTCAATTGTAATAGGTTACAAAGTTGACCAGTAAACGTATTAAGCATTCATTCATTACTCTTGAGTCGATGACAAAGTGTGAATCAAAGGAATGAAACTGTAATAATAATCATTTGGATTAAATATCAGGAATATCCTTTGTGATTTTCTGCTAGTTGAAATTTTAAATTTAAGCATTAAATCTGAGAATATTTACCTGACTGAGTTCTAATATTCTGCGAAATCAAAGAAGTGATTCAGATAAAATAAAGTAAGTTTCAATTGTGTCCTGGCGATATTTTACTTTTATCGCTGTCCCTTTTATGAATCGTGCTAATCTATCTCATTAAAAGGCTCCGGTGTATTATAAAGTTTTCGGGATCATTAGGCTTATCTAAAGTATTGGTCGTAATATACGCATATCGAAACTATTCTACCTTCACGGCAGAGTGGTATTATTTCCCCACTCAAAACATTTCCTCTTTCAATATTAAAAGAACAGTTTATTTCATTTTTGCTTTGACTTTAAGGGTTCATCTAAGGAATTTCAATTCCTAAATACAGACAAAACGGGATTGAGACAATTTTTTTATTAACTCCAAACTATGCCAAACATCGCCATTTTCCCATCCCACCATTACTGAATTTTTACGAAGACAGTCAATAAATATCCAACACTTTTTTCCAAATTTATTTTACATAAGACTGTTCACTTTATTTAGCAATTTCATAACTTTCCACACGAATATCTTCATTTCCATTTTCGTTTGCGATTAATTCCGACCTGAGGCATTTATTACAATATCAGGGACTCCTAGCAAAAGTAGAAGAACTTAACTCTGCATTGACCAGACAAAAGCATTTCTTTCCTTTAGGTTTATCTTTATTAAAAGAATGACGTTCACTCTAGTCTTGCATTGATTAACCGGTGCAGTGACGTCATAACGACATAATATTCTTATTATTAGCGACAACGGTTTTTTTGAAATTGATATTCCTAAAAGTACTAAGGCCAATACGCTATGGCCGATAGGCACACATTTTCCAGTGCATCCGAACGAGTAATCTGCTTTCACGTAGTCCGTCAGAATTATCCGATAACAAATGGACAAAGGCCCGGCTGCCCGTCCGTATGGCATCAATGGCTGCTATATGAACTATTCCCATTCACTAATACAATGTAAACGTTCCATCTGTTTTAGTTTTGAGCGCAGTCAACCAGAGAATGACCAAATTTCCCAAATTAGATGGACTCAATTTTACTTGTTTGGTTTGTTAAAGAATTCTATTGAAATTACAAAAATAAGCGTTGATATTGCTCTTATTTCAGTTTCCATTTAAAATTTATCACGAGCCTTGCTATTTTTTTAAAGATGATGTTGAAATTGTATTATTATGAATTGTGGCGAGCTATTTATATCAAACAGAAAACCCAATTGAGAACAAACCATTTCTTGTTCCGGCAATTACAATGTAGCGGATCGCTACTCTAATAAAGCCTGACCGACTCAGAAATCTCTATGGCAGATTCTCCAACATCTAGCTAGACTCCCAGAACAAGCTAAGCTATAGCCCAGCTATAAGGGAAGCAGACGTGTAGCACGGAATACGTTTATTCGGTACGTATATTGATAGCGAAGTGTTGAGTTTGGCAAAGCGATTAGTCATCAGATAACTCTAGCACAATTCGTGTGAACATTAATAGCTAAAATATTTCTGAGTAGGGTTATATAGCAGGATTTCTATTTGGTCATTTATGATGTGTCCCACAACAACTATTAGGATAGACAATCTAGATGGATTTGACATCACGAAAGCTACGGCAAGCGTTTACACATTGAGTGCCAGAATACCAGTCGCAGTATTACCTGGAGCATGCAGAAGTACGTGAGTACGCACTTTCATATTATAAAGATGACAAACACGATGCCGCTATATAAAGTACAGGAAGAATAACGGATATGAACCAAAAATTGTCGACTGATGAGGACGGGTCAATAATTTTATCATTATCTGTATAAGAAAATAACACTGACAAAACGTTAAAAAATGGCATTTTACTAACATAGATAACCCTATTATTTGAAGTCATAATTGTGGGACACGCTAACGCTGTGTGCTTCATCGTATGCCTGCATGTCTGCTTGCCAGAATTGGGAGGTACGGCCGTACAACTCTGTGTGCAGCGACCGTACTAACAGTGATCAATCATTTATTTGTAACAAATGGCAGGCGTATTGATATTATCATAAGCCCTTTAGTTGACTTCGGGCCTCACATAGGGGAGAAGAATTCAGGAGGGGGAACAGAAGACTGATTTACAGATGTAAAAGAAACAGGCAGACACAAAGGCTCAGAAAGAGTAAGATGAGTGCTATAGAAGTGGTCGAATATGACATACAGTGGGGGTGATGGTAGTTTGAAGTGAGAAGTCAACTGCCAGTTAATAGACTTTTTTGTCGTATGACTATACGTTGCCCAGGGTGCACCACGAGGAGGTAAGTCTATCCCGCACCCCGTGACCAATCATCAACCTCTGTTTAACCTAATACCCCATCCTGATCACGAGTAGCTCCCTGCGTGAACACACTTTATACCCGTACTGAATAGGCGTGCTCAGTGCTACACGTCTGTTTCCTTTATAGCTGGGC